ACAAAAGACAGAATAATGATTGGCATGTTTTGGCGGAGGTGCTTACTGCCTGGAATCTGTAGCAGATAGCTGAGAATACTTGTTGTATGCCTTATTCATCAAGATTGATCTCAATTACACCTGATGGAAAACTTTGCTTAAGCCATACTAATGGTTAAAAAGAGATAATGGATTTGTTTTGGTCCTCTAAAAGTCTGTAGAGATGATCAGGGAGTAGCAGCCCTTTTCAATAAGCCAGAGCACAGATTCCTAAGATTGAGTTGTTTCATCATTCATAGTCTTGATGTTAAGAAGTGCTATTTACATTCAGGCCACAAGATAAAAGGCATACCTACTCCTGCAGTCTTTTGAGGAAAATCCCCTGGAGCTTTTACACATGCTGCTGGCCAAAACTTGCCCACCGAGCAATACCCAACTGAATGAGGGGTGTGGAAATGCATTTATTCTGGCTGTCCATATGCCCAGGTTAAAGTTTCATTGTTTTGGATGAAGGGGTGAATTTCTAGTAGCAAACAATGTACAGGCCACTACCATGCTTTGACTTTAAAGAAACAAAGTATCAAATTTCTCCGTAAGGTATCATCTAGAAACACTGTACAGTAGGGGTCAGAGACAACAAATGCTATTGCCAGAAAATACAAGAGGCTTTAGGGAAAACCTAGGACCTAAACGATCCCCTTTGAAAATGGTCATTTTTAATATACCTTTGAAGGTACATTTCCTATTTTTACTCTTGAGGATTCGTACACAAGAGAAAATTCAGGACATTTCAGTTTATCTCGAGATTCCATGTATACCTTCAAGCTAGATAAGTAAGAAAATCCTTGCTTATTTCACTATACCTGTCTTGAACGCTGGCCTGAATAACTGCTATAGTCACAGCTGCAGATAGCTGTACCTAAGCTACAATGCTGGTTACTCCCGTACACTGAGCTTTTGATCCGGACTGTGGCCCTTGAGCATGTTATTTCATTACTAAGCTGCATTGGCAAGAATCAAACTAAACGTGTACTAAATCTTCTATGCCTTGCCAGTCTGGTGGTATTAAATGCAGTGAAGATTAGAGAATCTTATTTCTCTGTATAACTCAGATCAACATGCCGCATGAAGTAGATTTCCACAGATGCATATCGTTCTTCTCAAACACTCTAGCTTTGAGCCAGGCAAGAGAGACTGATGGTATAGTAGTAGGTATCTGCCTAGCAATTTATGGGACCGTGGAGGGCAGCGTCAATTTGAGTAGGTACGAGCGGCCCCTGTCTTCTGTGGATGCTTATCCTTTTCAGGCTCGAGAATCCCTACAGGACTCAGTTTTCTCTCTCCCATACTGGCTCCCATAACTTAGATGTTTCTCTCTCTCATATTAATCAAAACGATATATGCTTCATCTCACAGCTTTGTTACCCTGGTAATATTTCTTGGTAATTTCTGTAATTCAGCTCTTTCCATTGTCTCTTCAATTCCTCATTCCTCTGAAATAGAACCTCTCTGTTCAGCTTTCCATGTTCTGTTCACGTGGAGCACCACAATGGCCTTTTTCCTGAAGAATACTGCAGATACTTTTCAGTCTTCATCCAACTGAAATTTTTTATGGCATGTGGACAACTCCTGTCATTTTGAAGTCCTCTCCTCCCTGGCATAAGTTTCTGGTGTTTCTGTTCCTTCTGCTCTGTGTACAGACAGTTGAATCAAATCAATCTTGCAGAAAAAGAATATCAAATAAATAAGCCCAGCTTGTGTGGATAGCGGCAACATCTCTGAGGTGCTAGTCATCCAAAATAGGTCATTATCCATGGATGATATCAGCAATGCTGATGTGAAAGCATGCAGTAGCTCACTATCATTCTATTTAACAGAATTTTAGTATCACTGTGTGGTATAGTAATATTTTTAAAAATATTTTATGTGTACATGATAGTATCCTCTGATAAGTACAGAAAAGACTTTGGTTACTTATTGTAGTCCAGTAATATGATCATGGTCATTATATGCTTTCTCTATTATTCTAAAATATAGTTTTATTCCTTTAAAGTTATTTATAGAGTACTGTATATTTCGCACAATAGTCAATTACCTATGAGTTTTTGCCATATAGTAAATCCCATGCAATGACAAGAATCATGTCTTTGTTTATTTCAGTGTATCTTCTACAGTCTTGTTTTTTCAGTGAATTATATTGAATTAAAATGTTAACTGTCCACATAGAAGGAAAGTGTAAAACATTCTTTACTGTAATAAATTCCTGCTAGCCATATGGTATTCACCTAAAACTGCAGCACTTGCATTTGATTAAAAATATTGTTACAGATTTTCGATAATTAGAAGACATAAATTATACCCAGGCATAGAAATAATGACCTGACTTGTGATTTGCTAGTTTATATAACAACTAAGTTATATAATCATACATTCAAGAGCACTATTTTCTCTTAGTTACAATATATTCCCAGTTATCTTGGCAAATAAATAAAACACACACATACGTACATCTGAGCAGCAGTGATTAATAAATAAGAGAGCATATTAAACCAAACACAGCTTACGAAAGAACATGCTTCAACAAGGCTCTGGAACTGTAATTGTTTGTCCTTTGCACTGCACTAAAAACATGCCATTTATTTCTGACTGCGATTAATGTGGCTTTTTTGGTAGCCAAATTTCTTTGACATTTAACAAAGATTGTTTTCAAGGGTTTTGTCTTTTCAATTCTAGTTTCATATATAAATCTGAACGATCAGCTAATGAAATGCTGCAATTGAATTATGATTTTGTTTTATTAATGTACATCTCTCAATATTGTTATGTGAGTGGGAACATATATTTATTTCATCAGAGGGTATATGTCTCTACATCCTGTGAAAGTTGTGTCAGCAGGAAAATAACAACATGGATGCCTGGTACTGACATGAGGTCTGACAGCCGCATGATGCCAACAAACACTAATTTCTAGAGATCAGAGCCAAGCTGTGAATTGATCCCATAGAGCAGAAAGACATTTCAATGTCTGTGGTCCATAATTTGTCATTTTGCAAACAATCAAAGAAATGCCTTAGAATTACTTTGCCATGTTGGTAAGTAAAAGGAGGAAAAGGAAAAGTAAGATACCAACCAGCATTTTAGAAGTCTTTTCGTGTCAGACAACACACTCATATAAGTCAAAAAAGGAATAAAGGGTACCTGGCTTCAGTTACCATCATTGTACAAATCCCAAGGTCAGAATAAATGAAGTATGAAGACATGCATATTTTATAAAAGGTTTCATGCCATCATTTTACCCATGACCTGAATAGGAAACAGAGGAGAAAGTCTCAAATTCCACGCAGATATGGTGGGTGAAGAGTCTGGATTTGGGTAAGATTTTAAAAGATAATTAGTGGCATGCATTACAAAAGGAAAGAGTAACTGAAGCAATAGCTATACCGGAATAATTATACAGTAATTAGCATGCCCTCTCTCTTCCTCTTTGGGGAATTTTTTGCATTTAGATAAAAATGAATCCTGACTGCCACAGTATTTCATTTGGCAGACTATCAAGTAATTTATATTTCAAATATGATCTCAGCATCAGTTCCATCTGTTGATATTACCTGAGCATCATAATGTTTAAAACTGGCATGTTGAAAATACCTCAAATCAAAGTTCCTGAATCTGAGACACTCACACACCAATCTGAAAACCAAACAAATATGTTCTTATCTTGTAAGTGCTGTGTATTCATTTGAAATCTTTACTTGCAGTTTACCTAGGTCTCTATCCTAAGTCCAGACCTTAGGAAGAAAGGAAATGTTGGCAGTTACTATAGAATTAGCTCAAATAAGCATTGGACTTCCTTAAATAGGACTAGAGTATTTTGTTTATGCCAGTTATGCTATAAAATGAAAAAATTACTGGCTTTCAGCCTTTGAGCCTAAGAAATCCTTATTTAAAGGCTATATATAGAGTCAAAGGATCTTTTTTCCTTTCTTCTCTCACATTATAATTCAAAACTCAGAGCTGGAAAAAGCAGGACAATATGAGTGTCGGTGTGAAGATATATTCTTAGTTCTGGGATTACACTTCTACAAACTCCTTCCTCAACCCAGGGGCTTAGACTGGATGACATCTCTTCCACAGCCAGAGGGATTTGGGCCAAGAATAGGACAGAGACTCTCCCACCTCCCTAGAAAGCTATCTTCACCTCACGACCATTCCCACTTCTGGGGAGCTTGCGAGCTCCTTCTCAGCTTGCAAGACCCAATTCAAGTTGCTTCCCATCTGTGCTATTTTTCCTTCTCCCATTCAGATTTAATTAATCCTTTCCTTGGGTCAGCACTTTACTTTAAATGATTGTCATTACACTTTTAAAAACTAAGTTGCATTTGTTTATTTGAATGTCTGTCTCCTGTACCTTAACTTCTGAAGGTCTCACCTAGCTGTTATTTAACTCACCCCAGGCCACAGCATTCTCCTGCAGAGAGAGAAAGTGTTTATTAAATAACGCCTTCTAGGATAGATCTGTCCACATCATCAATGAGGTTCTGACAATAGTAAGTCCTCAATCAATATCACTGTACCATTTCTTCTCTTTCGTAATAGAACCAAAAATAGTATTGCCTTGCTCAAGGGAAAAACAAAAACTGTTGTTCAGTATGAATTCTATCCAGGGAGTGAAATGACAAAAAGGGTTTAGGAATCGTTACTACAGGTGGTGGTGGGTCTCGTTTTTCATCTATCTCATCGACGATGTGTCTAGAACAATGGGATATTCTCCAGTAGAGAGCTTTTGAGAGCTTACGTAAATTATGGTTGGCTACTTCTTTCAATGGCTCAAGAGATTTTGTTACCCTGATTAAAGAAAGAAAGAACAAATGATTCTGAAATAATCACTCAGATTTCTCAGTTTCAAAGCAATCAGTATATATTTTGGAACATAAAAATATTGATGTCGGCTGCACAAATGATTAAAAGCGAATAAAGGAATCTTTCTGGTAACTCTGTTTCCTCCTCCCCTCCCCCAATAGGCTACTCAATACTTCAAGCTATTATGGAAAAAGCAGGACAAAATGGTTGGCATGTGAGTGCTATATGTGTGGAAAATTTTAATGATGTCAGCTACCGGCAACTTTTAGAAGAACTTGATAGAAGACAAGAAAAGAAATTTGTAATAGATTGTGAGATAGAGAGGCTTCAAAACATATTAGAACAGGTAAGTCCTAGATTTTATCTCCTTATTCACCTATAGTTCATATAAAAAATGCTGACCTTTGCCTGCTGGGTCTCCATTAATACCTTCTTTCAACCTTTTAGTTTTGAGTGTGGTGTTTGGGCAATCTGATTTATCTCCAGGACTAAATCATATTTTATCAGCAGAGGCCATTTTGAGTCTTGGGTCTCAGTGGATTTGGGAGCTCAGACAGCTGTAAAATATACACAAGTGAAGGGCTCTTGGTGAACCATTAAGAGCTCTTGGACTTCTGTTTTCAGAAATATTAATTTTAAAGTCTAGACTGTCTTCTCAAAGTATCAGAAAATTTCAAAATATGTGCCTCTTGGAAATTAAGCCTTATGAGAAATAGAAATTCACAAAATGATGAAATAAAAGGAAATTAAGTGAAATATTGTGAACAGCATATTTCTCTGCTAGATATTTTAAATAAATACATTAGCCACCATGATAATGCTGATTTTCAGCTATCTGTACAAAGGAAGAATCCTTTAATAAAGCTTTCAATAAATGCATGTCGATTTGATATACGGCAGGCAGGAAAAGATAAAACTGAATTTTGTCATTGTGTTAAATGACAGGAAAATATCATTCAACAGTGGATGACTTCTGCCTTCTCCCTGAGCCTGTGTATCATGGAAAAGGTTTGTCTTTGGCCAAAAGTGTAGTGACGGTCTGCCACCTAGTGGTTGTACAGGTGCTTGCTCACACTTAGCTACACGTTTGACTAAATACAGTAATCTAACGTTGGATTACTTTGTCACATATAGTTTTATTTGTTACATATAGTTATAGATTTTTATTTGTAGTAATAAACTTGTCAAGTTTGAGGGTGATTTATGAGAATCACTTCAGTACTCAGTAATAAAAATCGAAACCAAAATGTGTTTCACAAATCCCTCCTACTACCTATAGGCAGCGAACTAGATATCTTAAACGTCCCTAACTATATCGTAACATGTGCACAAGTTAACAATTGCAAAATATGCTGCGTTTCTAAGCTGTGAAGTCAGGCTATACTACAAAAGGAATTGACAAAGCATTTACTGCCTATTGTTCTTTTATACAAGAAAAAGCAAAAAACAAAAGCTAAACCACTTCTTACTTTGCAGATGTTAGTTATAAGCCTACACATCACTCAGGTTTATTTCTGAGAGAGTCCAAACAAAATATGAAGATTGTAGCTTCTTGGGATATATAAACATTTTTAAGGGGTATTTGTGGAACCCAAGAAAAAGAAAACTTTTTCCTCTTTTCGTCAACTCCCATTCTCTCCCTCCCGCACCCACCCTGCATGGAGGGTTTGAGTCGTTTGACTTTAACAACTGCAGCTTTGTGAATAACTCAGGACAAATCCCCCAGCACAGCCAATTCTAAGTCCTGCCTGGATTGCCACATTCCCGACAGAGGTTGAGTAAGGCTCAGGGAGACCCTCCACTTAGCACCTGTGCCCCAAAGCCTCTGTCTGGAGGAAGTCACTGAGTGCCCAGAGCACAGTGACCCGCTTCAGAGGCTTAGCTGGTTTCTAAGAAGAAAATCGGCATGCTCGGGGGCCTTCAGGAAAATCTCTGAGTAAGCTGTAAATGAGCTCCTGCTAAGCGCACTGGACATCATATTGCAGGGGGCAGTGCGAAGAAATTTTAAAGCTGCAGAATCTACCTTTCCCATTCATTTAGCTGAATTTTAAAATGTTTCTTTTCTATCATGGCTCAAAAGGGATAATGACCATAAAAGGGATAATGACAAAGGTCTACACCTTTGTTCCCACAGCCCCCTCTCAGGCAGACCTTGCACATATTATAACAACGATTACTATATTGTGAAAGAAGCATGCACTTTCAATGTCCTATAAAGTCTCCCTCCTCCTCAAAAAAAGCTTTTTTTGCTTCTGAACATGATTTTTATTACCTGTATTTAATTCCTCATAGCTTTAAGCAAAAGCATGTTTAATACTTCTTCTAAGATTTTTCGTTTTATGAAAAAAAGGTCATAAGAAAATTACAACAGAATAACAATAGTTAATACCCTGTGTATCACTGTCTTCAGACCAGTTACCCAGAGTACAAGACATAGACCGAAAAGCTCCTTACAAGGGAGAAATAAACATAGTAACAAAACTTTCTTTTTCAACAAGGTGAGGTTATTAATTCTACTTTTTTGTGTGTGTGGATTTTTTTTTTTCCGGTACCGGGAATCGAACTCATGACTTTGCGCTTACCAGGCAGCTGCTGTGCCACTGAGCTTAGTCCCCAGCCCCAATTAATTCTACTCTTGACACATTCAAACACAGGAGTGAATCCAGACTGTGAAGACTTTGTGCATTCTTCATTTTCAACAATATCCTTGTTTTTCAAAACTCCTCTTCCATAAACTAACAATAGAAAGCAATTTCAGCTCATCAACCAACATGTCTTTCAGAAAGGGTTTGTTAGAGGCCAGGACGGGAAGAAGGGCTGGAGGGAGTCAGGGAGCCGTGGGTCAGAGTTCACAGTCTCAGCCACACAGAGGAGGGAAGACTTCTGATGTTTTCACAGAGATTGATTTTAGTTAATGATATTATATCACACAATTCAAAATAGGTAGAAAAGTATTTCTAATGTCATCACAAGGAAGTAATAACATTTTGAGATAACAAATAACCTAACTATCCTGAGTTGATCAATACACTATGTACATATGCTAAAACATCACATTTTACTCCATAAAGATGTTTAATTAGTCCATCAATTAAAATCATTTAAATGCATTTAAAAATTAAAAAGCTAAATACTAAATGATCTTCACTGGGGAAATGCCTTGGAAAAGTAACCCTTTCTGAGAAGATGGTGAAACTGATACAGTGACGACAAGGGGCGCCTTGTTACATTTCTAGGACAAGCACACTTCGGGCTGTGGCAGCACGCTGTCAATAATTACTCCCTGGACATTTCAATTTGTATCCATTTGCAAAAACATAATAGAAAGAGCTCACACAATATTCTTTGAACATAATGGACAACTATTGTGAGAGAGGCATTTCGCCTTCTGTATGTGTTTCCCGAATTACTTTATGCCGTGAACTAATTAGTTCTTATCAATGTACTGCTATTTTAAAAAGCAGTTAGACCATGTACTCATTCAAACGTTTCAAAACATGAGCATCAGAATGGGAAATTAAATGTAGGCCTGAGGATACCTCTGTAAGGGAACACCGGGAGCACCAGGGTGACGAAGCTGCCACCGGAGTGCAAATAGGCGAGTGTCATTCGGTGGGGGCAGCTGAGCTTCCCTCAGTGGCGGGCAGTCAGCCCTTTCAAGGAAGGCAAAACCGCAAGCTGTAACCAACCCAGCCATCCTCCGTCACTCCGTTTTCTGTACATAGATGCTGTCTGACCAAGTTGCTGCTCCAGAGATCTTTGAGTTTGTTCTGGTTCTGATGGTTCTGAGGGGCCCAATTCTAGAATCTTAAAGAAACCTCAGATCTGTAAATTTCTTGTCTTGTGAACAAGTATTTAAAAATGTACTTTAAGGCATTTTGATTTTTTAACCTAGATGACAAGATTTTTAAAAAACTAGAATTTGTGTAAATAATACCCTCTGTGCCTGCAACAGAAACGTATCAACTCCAACCAAATTGTATTTTTGGCTCTCTAAATTTGATGGACAATGTGATTCACTCATCTGCAAGAAAGAACTTAAAAATAAAATTAAAAATATTTGTTAATGTTTATTGAATTTGTGATTATTGATGAAGTCTGTAGTTTTACTGAAATTAATATTATGGACTTGCTAAAAAAGATTATAAATTCTATTTTGGACATGAACTTTATCTCACATAATTTTTTTCCTCTAAAAATAAATAAATAAATAAAAACACATCAATTATTTTGCAGAATGGCACAATATGGCTGGAATCTAATGAACTATTTTCATATCAAAATAAATGATTTATAGCAAGATATTTTTATATATTATTTTATCTTATACATTCCTATCATTTTTAAATCCTAAATTTGATACTTGCAGAGTCTTTGGGGATTCTCCCTAACTCCTTATTAACTGGACACTGAAATATTGGAACTTCAGTGGACATGTTTAACCCAGAAGCAAGGAAGCAATAACAAACTTGAACTTAACTATCTTTTTGGCATCAAAAATTATTTGAGCTTGGCCTGGTGGCACATGACGGTAATCCTTACACTCTGGGGAGTTGAGGCAGGAGGGTCAAAGTTTAAGCCCAGCTTGGGCCACTTAGTAATTTAGAGAGACCTATCTCAAAATTTTAAGAAGAGCTGGAGATATAGCTCAGAGTGAAGGCCTGGGTTCCATCCCCAATACCACACTCACACCACACACTCACAAATTATTTGACAAATAGCTCTGAAGGCAAGTAGCTGTGCATGTATTTCACTCCACCGGAAATGGCACATTGAGCATCCCGTGTTAGATTTTTGGTTAGTGTCAGTATAACCCACTTCACAGGGACACCCAGCTCTAATCCTCTGGAACAGATAAAGCAAATTATGAACATTTCCAAAAAAAGAAGTATTTTCACTCTTTGAGGGATGGATAAGAAATTTTCATTTGTTTATTTAAAATAATGAAGTCACCTAATACTATTATTCTCTTAACTTTAAATAAGAAAATTGAGCGGAGATGATCTAAGGAAAACCTACTTGCTCTAAAAGTTAATAATGATTTTTCCAATGAAATTTTTCTAGTGCTATAATTGACTGTGAAATAATACATTATTTTACCTGGGGGATATGTTTTTAGAAAGACGTATAAAGTAAAACTTCAGTCAGGTGACTTTTCTAGGTAACCTTTGTCCACCAATATTTGTTGGGTATACACTATATACATGCATATGCACACACACACTGCTATGGTTTGTGTCTAGATGTCCCCACAAAGCCTCATGCATCTTTAGATGGGATTTTTTTGGAGGTAACTGACTCAAGAGTTTGTGACTGATTCATGCTTTCATGCTAAGATTAAGGGTGCTGGGATTAAGGGTGGGTGATTGCTAGATCAGTCCACTGGTTGGATTGGCACCACCCTAATCCCACCAGTCTGGAGGAGATGAAAGGGGCAGAAAGAGACTTGTCCTTCACCCCACCCCACCTTGTTGCCTTTGCTGTCTTCCACCATGATGAACTGTTGCCCCTTGGCCATGGGCCACTCTGCCTTTGAGCCAGCAGATCATGGACTGTGAGCTCTGAAATATGAGCTAACTAAACCTTTCATCCCCGAACTTTGGGCATCAGGTGTTTTGTCTCAGCAATGAGAGAAAAGTAACTAAGACACACGTGCCCACATGCACACTAATGTGCTAAGCAAAATAGATACTTTTTCTATTCTAACGAGTAAGTCTTATTTAGTTCATTAAGACTTAAGTCAAAACTGTTTGCTAACAAATATGCTATTTGTTTTTAGAAATACAGTGCATAGAAAGTGAATAAGGATCTCTACTTCCTTGGGGATTTTGCTACAAATGCCAGTTATTTTGAACAGTTGATGAGGTCAAAGGCATTAGATAGGAAACTAGGGCTGTATTGACTCCAGGACACACAATGGGTGTACTTAAGGTGTCTAACTAAGTATGTATCAGGATGATATGATAAAGATGGAATGTATGGTACAAAATAGATATTTAACAAAAGGATGGAGAGAATGACTTTGCAATTGGCTGACAGATATCTCAACCTACTTCTCTGTCACACACCTCAGATTTAATCAGCGCCCATTTCAGTAACATCGCCCCTTTCGCCATGTGGAAAGGAATGTCAGTGTCCCACTACGCATAGTGTGAATATCAGATAATTGGCAAAACCAATGACCTTCCTATGATATTTACAAATTAATACAAAATGCCTAAAAGCTATAATTGACCTCTCTGAAGTTTATCAACTCACCAAAGGAAACCAATAACACTAGCTCAGGGCTAGATCAATTAGAAAGAGAAGAACATGCCTCTCAAACATGCATGTGATCATTTGCACAAGAGAGGTGAATTGAGAACTCGGTTGCAATGAACTTATTCTAAGCCCAAAGCTGCCTACCACGTCTAGCACTATCTCCATGATATCTCAGGTCTCGGGCAGACTTTCTCACGATTTGTCAAATGTGTGACAGCACTGACTAGAAGATATCGTATACCCTGAGTCTGAATTTACAAATTTTTATAACTCTCAGACACCAGGAATTGTACCATATCGATCTGAAACTCAACCTGTTCCACTTTTATTCCTCATAATGACACTAAATACAGGCATTTTAAAAGTCAAAGGTTTTAAAAGTCTGCCCCTATAACTCATAGCTGGTTGAATCATTTTCATTACTGGGTAATGGCTGCCTGGTCAGTCTTTTCACATCAAAGCCAGACAAAGAAACCTCAAATGCAAAAATACAAAACTGTAAGAGACAGAAGAGATGAGAAGAAGCATAAGGAGAAAGAAACCCTCGCAGCAGGAATGAGGAGGATTCACTCCGGGAGAGGTCTGACAATTGGGGATAGCAGTTTTACTTACTGGAATCACTATGGGGGATTGGACAGCACATATTCTGAAAGGGGAAATAAGCCAACAGGGGGAGGCAGCACAGCTCTGGACCCGACATTACATAGATTCATTCAGTAGCTATGTGCTAGACATTGTTCCAGGCACTGCAAGATCATGCAGAAAAGAGTAAAACATGGTCCCTACCAAGAATGTTGATTCTCAAGCAAGGAACACCAAAGCATGAATAAATACTTACAGAACAGTATGATGACTTCACAACCAGACATATTACAAAATGTATCAAAACCCCAAAGACTGAATGCCTAAGTGTAGTCAAAGCAGTCTAGGGTGCTTTACAGGAAAAAAAAATTAAATTAAAAATGCATGGGCTCTACCTAGGTACAGAAAAAAAGTAGGCATAGTCCAGAACAGGAAAAAAAACTGCAAGGGCAAAATCTGAAAACATTTAGAAACTAGAGAATAATTCTATATGATAAAAACTGGATAAAGGGCAAAAGTGGAAATTGGAATGGACATTGATCAAGGATGAAGCTGAAAGGTTGAAGGAAGTCTTCAAAAATGTAGACTCCTTAGGGGCTGGGGATTTAGCTCAGCAGCACAGTGCCTGCCTGGCAAATGCAAGGTCTTGAGTTCAGTTCCTGGTACCGGAAAAAAAAAAAACAAAGAAAAAAAGAAATGTAGACTCCTTAAATTGCATGAATTTAGTTAATTTTTCCTATTGAAATATTATCCCTATCAGAGCAGGATCTATCATTTACCAATATATCCCTGAGTCATAATTGTTAAATAAATGTAAATGTAGATGTGCCTCACGTGAAGGCACGAGCAGTAGATATCCCTTTTCTTTAAGGCAAGACCCAGTCGTAGTATTTCAGTGTCTGAACATAACACTCCATTACTTGGGAAGCATTCTTTTCTACAGTTTCACCCAGCAAAAATCATGGACTGCCTACCTATTGTTGAGTATGTTGTATGTGCTGAAAAAAACAAACAAGTTCCATTTCCCTATATAAAGTAATGAGTGAGATAAAACAGGAACACATCACACATGCAGAGAAATTACTACAGCAAAGAAATCATATCAGCGATTTCCCGCACTGCAGTACTGGCAGAGCATGCAGCTTCTGCTTCATTATAAAGCTCCTTTTGCATACCAAGCTTTGCGCAGTCAGGATCTGTGACAAAATAAGAACCAATTTGAGAGAGACATGACGTTATGCTAAGAAGGTGATTTTTCTTCTTTAATCTTACCTTTTGACTGTGTTTATTTGCATCTGCAGATCCCATTATAATGCCCTAGGTTTGTTGTTTTCAGACAACAGAAACACTTTTTTATGATCTCAGTTAGACTGGTGCAAATAGAATCAGTAGAGTTACAGAGGGCTGTGTAATTGTCTCCTAGAAACTGTTATTATGGTTACAGTTATACTGCATTTTCTTAGAAGGTTTTTCTAAGGTAACATATGCAGAAAAGTGAAGGAAACAAAGAGTATGTTTTCTCAAGAAGGAGAAAAGTATGCTTGTCAGAATGCAAGGACCTTTGCCTTAGAAGCATTATGATTTCTAGGATTAGGTTAGGTCAACTAAATTTGTTTTAGCTGCAAGAACAATTATTAGAATAATTTTCATCATTGGTTTTGACACAAAAATCCAAAGGTCCAGTTCTTGGTCCATTTGAGGGCATTTTGCTGAGTCTTGTAAACACCATAAATATAACTTTGTTTTTATAAATTACAAGAGTATTATATTATACAGTTCTGTAATAAAATGTTCTACCTGCCAGAAATGAAGTGATGCATCTTTTTAATCACTTTGATTTAGTCAGAGGGTAATGATACAAATTCATTCTTAATCCTCCCCTTAAGATTAAGCACTTAATTGAATACTGCTTCTATATTAACTGATTTTGTACCAAATGTAAGACTAGATTATGCAAAGCAATGAAACTAGTATTGTTTCTACCAGAAAAAAAGAAAGAAAGAAAGAGAGAGAGAGAGAGAGAGAGAAAGAAGAAAGAAGAGAGAAAGAAAAGGAAAAAGTAAGGTTCTCATAATCATGGACAAATGGAAAAAGAAAGAAAGATGAAAATTAGATATATTTATTTTCTAATTTTTAATATTTTCTCAGAAGAGCCACATATGCTAAACAATTGTTATATTCTAAAGTTTAAATCACCTCTATAGCTTCCCTATGGCCTTCCCTTTAACACCCATACTGGGGAGAGGGACATATAGGTAGATGGTAAGTAGGTAGATAAATGCAGGTATATAGTATAATGCAGTGATAGAGCAGTAGGAATATATTGCAGGCATCACAAGATAAGTACACTTTCGTGTCACTGCCCACCCCTCCCTACTATTTTTCTGTCTTCTACATGCATATAACACGTACCTATTTGGTCATTTACCTCACACACATTTATCCAATACCTACCAGTTTTCTAGCCTTCTACACAAGAATGATCAATTTCAATCCAGCCAGGGAAGGAACTGCAAAAGGAAGACAACAGCACAAATAATACAAGAAATGTGGAAACGTTTATAAAAGTTGAGATAGAATTGTTACACGATGAGGTAGAATTCCCTAGGGAGAAAAGCGAGGAAAGAAGATTTGAGGTAGGTGGCCAGCACGAGAGCTCAGCAACTGGAAAGGAAAAGACTACACGCCAGGGCAGGCCCACAAGGGTGGCTGAATGCCGGGGGCAGCAGCAGTGAGAGGGTGGTCCAGGCCAACTAGGGACAGGTCGTGAGTCTGACACTGCAATACACAAAAAAGTAAAAGCATGTCAGATAGTAATAATGCAGATTGATTGATTTTATTACTAAATACTTTCCCAAGCACCGTATGTATTTACTCTAGAAAACCGTACCTCCCATTACTTTTTGTTAAGCTTTAAAAAAATATAGCTGATATGACCAGGTTACTTTTTTTAATCTGACAATTTAAATTTTTTCCCATGTACAACATAAGCAGAAAACCTCTCACTGATATTGCCATGCAAATGGTATATACCTGTACCACAGAGGTCAATTTAGCTATTAAGTAGAGGTTTTCCCCCTGACTTCTCTCTGTCAAATTATAATTTTATTTGCTTTCTAAAATATCAGGAAAAAATAAAATAAAATAATATTAGGGTTTATCATTTGAATAAATGTAAAGAGTTGACTTTAAAATTTATAGTCATTTATTAAGATAGCATATCTGCTGACAATTGTTTCCTCTGATTCTCTATTACTTGCCTGGAGTTGTACATTTAAAAATCTTAAGTAAGCTCAAGTATTTCACTTTTAATTACTCTGTAATCATCCAGAGTAGCTATAATCTTGCTTCCTCTTTTACCCATCTTCAAATAAATCATCTGCTTTTATTTTTTAAAAAAATCTCAAATAAGCTTAAGTGCAAATTAGTTATCCTGTTGAAATAAAAGAAAGTGAGCGACTCTGGGGTCCTACGTTTCACATATTTTATTAATCCCAGTTTCACCTCTCAAATGTAATTACACACAGCTATACAAAACGGAAAATCCATCATCAGCTGAGACTATCAAGTAGTGATGAAGGCAACGTCTCCAAAATTATGGAAGGAAGTTACTTTAAATACGCCTGCAATGAGTCAGCTATTATTGTGTATTATCACAATCAGCACGGAAGGGAAATAAGCAAATGCTGCTGTAGCAACACTTATGCTAAAGCTAAAGCAGCATAAGGTCTGAAATGTAGGTAAAAGTTAAGGAACATGCGTAAACAGCAATGCGATGGGAAGGAAGTCCTTAATCTTTGTTCAGCAAAACTGCATACTTTATCTGGCTGTTGCCATCTCAGTGTACATTAACATATTCGAGTCTATAAGAATCTCTACAGCAAAGAAACCTCTTAAATCTTGTTTAACATAGTGCTCCAAGCAAAATTGGCCATAAATACTTTTTTCTGTATCCATTTCTTTATATTTTACTTGCCTGGTATTCATTCAAAAATAAAGCTCATCTTGAATTTTTAAAAAATGGAAAGTTTGGAGGATAATAACTCAGATATGATTTAAGAAAAACTAATCTCAAAGCAAAAACATATGGGAGGATCTGAGGAATTAACAGAAGACTTCTAGAACCAGTGGCTAACACATCCCTCTGCACCAGGCACGGAGTCATAGACTCCCGGAGAGACTGGATCTGAGAATTTGTCCATCCTTGAGCATTCGTGGGCATGCTCGCAAGTACCTATGCATCTCAGGTTTAAACAACAAGGTTTCTTCCTGAGCATATTCGATGTTGAAGTTCGTCACATATTCCTTCATAATTATATAGGAACATATGTGGCAGCACATGAATTTATAGATAACTTGTATTCCTCTCAGTACTGGTCCCTTCTAGCTGTTTCTATAACTCAAGAATAGATATTTACTCACTGATGATATATTTAATGAGCATTTCAACACATGAGATATTCTGATTACTGTCTGGTTCATAAAAGTAAACTTTATGGATTTATTTTTGTGGAATTGCCATTTTTAAGTCTCTAAACCATAAAATATATTTATTTTACCCTTTCATTGATTTTCAAGTTTGAATTTGTAACAAATATGTAGCATGACCAATGGATTGAGTTGAGTATGCACAAATTTAGATACAACTTGAACCGTTTTTTGTAAATATACACTTAGTAAGCTACAAACTGTGCAAAACCAAGCACAAATTTTTCTGCTAACTGGCTTTATTATACATATGACATTTCATATGTCGTATTATAATATATAATACATTATAATTCACATATATAATATATATAACATATATTATATATTATTTCATATTATACACGTGACATTTCACACATAGATTTTGATGCATTAAAGTTTTCCTGATACTTCTCTATCTGTGAGGGCCAATCTCAGTTTTATGCAAAAGGGAACTAGGAAAACCATGCATGTATACTGCTGTTCAAGTAAACAATAGCTTCAGGCATTATTTGCACTGAAAAGAATTGTGCTTCTGTTTCATTATGAGAAACTTAGATTTTCCTCAGAATAAGGTTGACATTCTTCAAATATTTAATGTGATAAAGAATGTCATTCTCACAATCAGTTTTATTCATTTTCAGTTTATGAAAGATATATTAATATTGGCCAAAAATCCATTATTTTTCTGAATGGATATGGTCTGAAGAAGAGAACAGAAGATAGTGGGAAAAATACAGGAACTGTAGTCAATATACCTGTGCTGGAATCTCAGCTTCACCGCGCAATGACTATTTTCTAATGTGTTTGTTTATGAAAGTGAGGGACTATCCCCCTCCACCTCATCTCATTAGCATTATTTTCATATTGATTCTTATGAAATGTCTTTTAATTTAAAAAGAGAATGAGTCTAACTGATTCTATCAAGCTACCATGTGTGCCTCAAATTCGTAATTACAAATGTCATTGAATCTTTTTTGCCTCTTTGCAAACATTGTAAGTGGTAAAATTAAAATGCTATTAAATCAAAATGGAGCGCTGCTACGAAATGTTCATAGTTAATATCGTGAGAATCACATAATTTAAGCTTTGTGAGTGTGGAATTTTAGTACCTCCATGACAGGCAGAGAGAACAATATACTCCGTCTAGGACGTGCTCTTCTATGGCCATTGGCAGTTTGAAGGGCTGTCACAGAAAACAAAAATTAAATGCCTGAATTTCAACACTTGTTTTTTTACTTTATAGTCTTAGGAACCTATTCAAACCATATTTACTACAGAACTCTCAATCTGTTAATTAATAAAACTGCAGGAGAGGTGGACATAAAATGATCTGAATGATGTTCTGATGCAGCTAAAGAGATTTTAAAAAACATTTCAAATAAAGTCAAAGAGAAATAATAACAAGTACCATTAAGAAATGTCATAGATATATGAGATAGTACAAAAATACAATCTTGTATTAAGATATAAAAAATTTATTAAAGACATTAAACCATTGCTATTTACCCATGTAAGAGAGCAAATCTTTTCATCAATTTTAGATACCCAAATAAAAGTTGGACATATGCAGCTTGAGTCCTTGGTTATATACTGTGATTGAAATATACCATGCATATTTACATTAAAATAAATTACTGTTGTGAAAGTCATATTACCATTTATCCCTCTCAAAATTCTACCCTTTGCTTCCATATCTTTTTTTTTTTTGGCACTGGGAATTGAACTCAGGACCTTGAGCTTGCCGGGCAGGCACTGCGCCGCTGAACCGTATCCCGGGCCCTGCTTTAAACATACATATATCGTTGTTCCTGTCTCTTCCTGAAGCAGTTTTTTTGAAAGTCTTCTCTTATGAGATTCTGTAGTTGTGCAGTCGTGGCTGCCTCAGCATTGTGGAACAGTTCCAAGCACTGACATCTCACTGTCAATTAGACTTGGGGCAAGAGCCAGGATGCAGTCACACAGCGGCAGACCTGGGGAACAGGAGGGCGAGGACGCCCTGTAACGATTTTAAGAGCCGGCCTTTTCGTTAGCTGGCACTCAGCACCAGCATTCAGCCAAACTTTTGACCACACCTTTTTAAAGACATTCGTGGAAGAGAACTTCCAGAACTGCTCACAGAAGTGGCCAGACTGAGGGCATGAAGGAGTGTTTTGAAGTGAGGGGGAGTATTTTGATTGGAATGAATGGCAATGTGTCCTTTCCTGTAACAAACTTTGAAATTTCAGGGTTCCCTGGAGTTTTCCCAAAGCCCGTGCACACCGAGGTTAGAGACTAAGACAGGACACAGGTGTTCCGCACCGCAGGATGGAAAGCTGGAAACCAGTAGCTCACAGTGTTAGTGAATGTTTTTCTGCGTTATTGATTTGACTCGGTTTTATTCTCCCCCCCGGAGCCAGTCTTAAGACAAGGATTTGGGTGCAAACTGTTTGGAAAGTAAAGAATTGACTGAAAGGGAAGAGTTCTTCTCTGGAGAAACATGGAGGGTGAAAGGCGCATTTGTCTAGTAAATGAGCACCGGGCGATGGGCTGGGAGCTCATGGGAAAGGACTGTAAGCTGATTACTGGAGGGAGCAGGTACGGGACACACTTGTGGGATCGTCTCACTTGTAGCGCATGGGAGTTGGAATGTTTACACACCAACTCCTGTCAGTCAGGGGAGGAAGGTTGCTGCAGGGTTAGGAAGCTGGTGCACCAGCACTTCTGACCGCTCCCCACTCCAAGGCCAAAGGGTTAGAGACCAGGGAAAATCCTGAGGCAAGGAAATTCAAGTGCTGTTTTTGGCGAGTGAACAAGTACGCATTGAAATGAGAAGGTCACGTCACTAGAGTCTCTTACAGTGACTAACTGCGCAGACACAGGCTCTTGTCTGTACAAGACTCTATATCCAAAGAAGAATGTGTCCCGACACCCTTTACTGGAAGCCAGTCGGGCTTGCTATGAATGTCTTGTGAGAGAATGTGGCAACTTTAACAGGCAACTGTCCCCTTATACACAGCTCTCTTTCCCTTTTCCTTCCCACAAAGAGATTTACTCCCCACCAGAAACTTCGATAATCTCTAACATATCCAAGGATAGAAAAAAATTAAAATCCATACACACATACAGATGTATGCATGCACACAGACCTATGTCTCTTAAATATCTAGTAAGAGCTCAGATTTCTGTCCTCTTCCTAAACCTCTTCTCATATTTTCTTCAGGATTTGAGGTGTTTTATTTTCTCTTCCTTTCCACTGCAGTTAACATCTGACTATTGTCTTATGTGCTTGCAGTTCAAGACTACAGCTTGTTTGCAAAAGCCCCACTCCCATATACGCTGCTTTGATGGACTGAAAAGAAACTATTTTTTTCCTGAAGTAAAACGTTTTGAAACATGTTGAAAATCAATATTCTGGAGATATTTGGAAATTTAGAATTCCTATAGAAAAAGAAGATTAAGTGAGAATGATTGCTATCATGACAGTTCCTATCACTGATCAACAGTGTGGCCGTGACACCATAAAATGCATTATATTCTTTCCTCCAGGACGCTGAATTCTCTGGAATAGGATAATATCTAAGACAGAAAGTTCTAGCCGACTTATTATTAAAAGAGAAACAAAATCATTCATATCCATGTGTCACGCTGTGACTTTAGGTAGAAGAGATTCTTTGATACACCAATCACAGCTTCATAATAATAATTCCCAGTAATACACAGCATTCCTTATAGCAAAACCCCTGAGTGCTTTGTAAACCATAGAGGATTAACATAGAGTCTCACTATCAATTGAAGGCCAAACTCAGGTGTTTACAAGTCTCCAATTGACTTTGTATATTAATGTTGGCAATATTTATATCCTGCTTTGCCTTTTAATTATTCACCGAGTCAGTATTTAGTGTTTATTCATTTAAAATGTACCTTGTTCTCCCTAGTAATTGACATCCCTTGCTCCTTGAAACTCATAACACTCCTCTTGTTCTGCCTCGTGCTTCCGTTGTTCGTGTTTCGGTCGTATCCCCTTGTAAGATAATAAACACTGCAGTTACAGCAGCGCTGACTTATCTCTGCAGTCCTGCATTCTCTTGTCCCTGAACTCACACGGGGGAGGCAGTCCATTCACTTCTGTTGAACGGCACTGAATGGCAAGGCAAGGACAAGATGGAAACCAAGGCTGAAGGTGAGGCTGGGGATTCATCCCCAGCTTTCAGTAGTGAGAAATGTTTTAGAAGTTACATTTACAAATACTTGTTTTGCCTAAATATGTCAATAAAAACATTCTCAATATTTAAATCTTGTATTTACTTCATGAATCACACATATGCGTAACCCTGATTTTACAGCTAAATTTTTTGACCAGCACCACAGGTATTTCTGAACGGATGTTTCCTACAAAACAAAGAAAAATAATTAAAGGATTCAATTAGTGACTTCTGTTAAGTGTTTTATTCTTGTAAAGATTGACTCAAAGTGGGGACAATAGAACTTCCACACCCCTTATAAACTCTCCCTCAGAACTGGAAACACACACTTGAACATTATCCCTTGTCTTGTTGCATCCTTTGTTTCTCTTCAAGGATGCAGCTTCTTTATCGCCGCATGTTTCTATCTTTATGAAAGGTTATAATTATTTTTTACAATGAAGTCCTTGTCCTAGACACCATTGTCTCGTGGCAGTTTAGCCATCCACATGAGTGTGAAGGCAGTGCCACTTTATACTTAGATCTTTCACCTCAAATTGTTTCATTTCTCCATGGTATTTCCAAAGAAAAAAATGTCAAGCGTATAGAGACACAAGGTCTTTTCTGCCCCCAAATTCAGGTTACTCAGATTATTTTTACATAAAATATGCTTCACTTTGAAAGGAATGATAAAAACAACAATGACATTGTCAGACTTACACAGTCATTTAAAAAAAAATTCTATTTATAAAACTATTTCATGAAGTGTAAATTGAATTTTTTTCACAAAGAATTTTCATCTAAGGGTGGATATTTAGCAGAGGGACCAAGATCTGCTTTAAACCACAGACATCTCAGATAATGGTGATAAGAGAATGCCCTGATGTTCAAAGACAATGAAGTCTTCCAACAGGTCGAGGGGTGCGTTTGTTTTCTCCCAGCAACGATTTGGTCAGCAAAGATAATCATCCCAGGGGCTGGGGATTTAGCTCAGCAGCACAGTGCCTGCCTGGCAAGCGCAAGGTCGTGAGTTTGATTCCTGGTACCGGAAAAAAACAAAACAACAAAAAGAAGATAATCATCCTGTGAGCATTTCCAGGCAGGTGAACAAATCCTCAGATCTCTGGTCCCCACAATCCTCATCGCCCTGAATCTCAATGTATAGCAAACCCTGCAAGATATTTTCTGCCAAGATTTTTATCCCTTCCAGTTCCTTTTGGTTTTATGAGTCTTCGTACTTTGAAATTGTATTGAAAAAGTTTTAACTGATGACAGTTCCTTGCTATACTGGTGCTGTTTGAAAAGATAGAACTGACAGTGATGTTTTTACGGAGACACCCACTACTAAATTTCTGCTGGCTCTATGCCTTTTCAACAATTACAAGTGTTTCTGCTTTAAAGTGGATGTTTGATAAATCTGACACAGGATTTTAACTGTAATTTCACAGAAATCACAAGCTGAGAGTGTTAAGAAAGAAGAAACAGGGTGGGAATGAGGGTTTAAAGAAAGTGAGGAAAGGTTTAAATAGCCACACCAAGGGCGGTTAGGAACAATGAAACCAGAAGAGAATAAATGGTGGATAGCTGAATAGCATCAGTCTCCACTGATAACAAATAGCAGGAATATAATAGCAGACTCATTCTAGAGTATACGTTTTCCCATCTGAGTACCAATTATCAAATGTCTCTGATCATTGTCCTTTGCACAAACCATACCTGAGATTTCCAGAGAAGAAAATGGCGCCAGTCTGAACAACTTATAAGAAATCACGCAGCTTTAGATTACCCAGTATGATGCCTGACCCTGACTCTTCACCAGACTTTATAACCCTGTGTATTTATTGCTTGTCCTCATTTCCTGGTAAGATTCTCTTGGGGAGTTTGGCTTTAGACAAATTGAGGACTAGATACATCTAGCCATAAAAATGGTTTAGAAGTGCTATGTAGATTCCTTATAAGTGGATGGTGAACTTTCAAGTAATAGAGAAAATCTTAAATGAGTAAGAATGAAACCCGTCTATGACGAGGAAGTTGTTGGATCGAGTAGCCCAACTGGGCATTTAACACTCACCCAAGAACAAGCACTTTGGACTCAGTCAAGGCCACAAATTAGACCCTAGGCCCTTTGTAAAGCTCGACCATTCAAAGGCCAAGTCCAACAAGAAGAGGAGAGCAGGAAAAAATATCTGCCACATGTACAGAGAGTCAATTAAGTATCTTCAGTTGTAACCTGGACTTAGTGTGCTGGGGGAAACATCTGCTCTGAGGATGATAACAGCCTTCTTTTTTTGGCGGATTGTACTTTGAATGTATACCACATACTGTGATCAGGGAATTTAGAATTTCAGAAATTATCATAAAAGTGGTGACAAGCCAGTGATATTAACATTGCAGTGTCTGTTATAAGTAAACACAAAACATCTTTGGGGAAATATTTTAAGTGGTAATGACTTAGAATTTTCCGGAGTTGAAGGGCAATCCTCAGAGTCAGTTCATACAACAAACTCTGGGCCATGTAAACATATACTTGAATGTGAAAATCCAAATTAATTGGATAATTCAAGCTGCAGAACTTTAAAGTCAGAAAGAATATTATATATAATGAAAAGAAAAAAGGTGAGATGAACAGAAATTACATGGCACCAAAGCTGTGTAAAAAAATTGTTTACAGCACAATTAATGTGTTCTGGTTTTAAAAGAGCTTTCCTCTATTTTGAACACAAGTCCCTCAAACAAAAGAACTGTCTTTAGAGAATATTAAAAGCTAAAAAAAATTAGGATTCTTTTTCTTTAATAGTAGAAATGCATGAAAATCTTGCATTGTGGGCATGAATGAGGTTGCAAACCTGCTCATTCGTAACTGCAATTATATTTTTATCTCTTATTGAAGAAATTTTCAGTTTTATAGAGAATGAGAGTTTTAATCTCTAATGAAGAAATAAAATTTCACATACAATCTTTTTTATTTCCTTAAAAAATCTGAGTTTATATTTTTCAAAGTATTTCTAAAATAATTCTTGGGGGAAAAATGAATCTAACAGAAAGAGAAAAGACTTTTGATGGCATTTTGTCCTAATTATTATTTTAAAAATCACCCTTACACAGATGAAAGTTAACTATGTTTGCTGGCATCAGACATGTCTATAAACAGATTGTGCATTTAAACATGTATTGCTTCTTGTTTAAGACAACAGTTCAATCTACTCATAAATAATCTTTCTTACCCATTGAAGAAAACTAACATTCTGTGTGATACTCCATTGCCATAAATTATCAATAAATTAAACACGTTTAAATTCTCTGGAATAAAGTTAAGATTCTACCTAAATATATTTTCTTAAGAAAGGTATGTAAACTATTCTTTGGTTCAGAGTATTGTCATTCTCTTTGAGGAGATCATCACATACTAGGTTTTACAACAAAGTATAGCAATATAATTGATCATTTATAAAGTGTGGCAGATAAAAATGGCATTTTTTAAACATTAATCACTCATTTTCAGTGTGGCTCATCAAATTCTTCTTATGATAATATATCACTTTTATAAGAAAAACTGCATTGTTTTCCTATCACAGATCCACATGAAATCATGGTACAGGAGTAAATGTTTAAACATAATCTCTTAACAAAGTTAAATTGATTCTCTCATTTCTTTTTATCTCCACAGATTGTCAGCGTTGGGAAACATGTTAAAGGCTACCATTATATCATTGCAAACTTGGTAAGAGCTGTTTATTTTCCACTTTTTGTAAGAATTACTCAGGTATTTAAGATTATTGTAGTTGTACCTTAAAATAATGTTTCAATACATGGTTAGTCTGCATATTTTCATAACGCATGGGATATTTTCTTACAATGATTATCATATTTCTAGTATAAAATTCAGTGTATTTTTATTCAGACCAGCTTGGTACCTGTCAAAGAGATTTTTAAAATTAATTACAATGTGGGTTTTGCTATTAATTACAGTATTAACGTTTGTCAAATTAAATGCTAGTTATTTATCTAAGTGAGAAGGACTACAGATAAAGATTGCCAATACTTGGCTCTTACATGAAACATCTAAGCTGATGGTCTGTCTTCTCCAGTTTTAAGAAAAATGGGATAGACTGGCTATATAAGCAAGTCTCTTGAATAGGAGTTACACAATTTTTTAAACGATGTCCACTCATCACACACATAGATGGTAATAAATAAGATGCATATGTATTAATGAAGTTCTTCACGATCAGGAAAGTTTCTTGACAAGCTTCACCAAAGGTTTTTGTTAATCTTCTGGTGCAGGAGGCCATTCTCTTGTTGTGTTAGAGTATCATCTTCTTCAGAGCTTAATCCCCAAAGTGGTTTTTCCTACGGAATTCAAGATTTTTGTGTGTCCTAACCACTCTCATCACATATTTCTCTGACAAGTGTCTTGGTTTAGAAGAAGAAAAAGAAGCTAAAGGGTACAAAAGAGATTCAGACCCCTACTTCTTTGTATGTGGTGTGCAGTCTATGATACAGTATTATAGAAATATTTAATCTTTAGTGAATTGAATTTCATGTAGAGCTCAAACAGTAAAATAGAACAAGGGACTGTGAACAATAACTGTATTATATTTGTTAAATAAAATATAATTTTACAATCTAGTAAATGATTGTGAAAATACTGGGAAATTTTGACTTGCCTTTTTCATAGATTTAGTAGATCCACAGAGGGTATTTTATTATTTTTCATGAAAATAAAAATCATAAATCAAATATATTCTATCATTAATCACTATAAAAGACTTTATGATTACGGAATGTCTGTACTCACAATGACATTGTATAATGAGATTCTAATTAATTACCACAGTGGAGGATTTCGACATCAATTCTTTCTAAACAATTTTGGGGGAAAAATCAATATGTTATGAACTGTCATTCTAGAAATGAGCTGCTGACAGTAGTAGCTAAAATAAATAAACAATACAAAATGGAAAGAATATTTATAGCACCCTAATCCTAATGGATAGCATAGCTTGTCAAAAACAGCCCTAGTAAATGACAACATGTTTAAGCTGTCTGAAGTGCCAGTATATAAAATAGAAAAACATTTTGCTTATAATAGGGCTTATGACCATCATGCTCACTAAAAATAAGCAAGCTTTTTATCATATGTAATTGATATCTTTGTAATACATGATTAAGCCAGTGACTCGCACATAGTATTAACATAATTCTATCCAAATCCATTCAGCTCTAAAAGAGTGCTCCTTAGAATGTCCTAATGATTTTTGTTTCATTTAGCCAGTCAACAGCTAGTGTTGAGAGCTATGTAATAGGATTCCTAAATGTGGAGTTGATTCAGAATTAAAAGGAAAAATTCTTCTAACATTACACTTAATGTTAAAATGTTGATTTTCTCCACCCTTTTCACCACTCAGAGTTTCATACCAAAGTATAGCGACTGGGTGAAAACAATTTGAAAATGGTTCCATGTTGAGAAGAAAAATTTTGTATATAAGAGGTCTCAGTGAATCAAAGAATAATTGTAGAATAAATGAGCTCATCAAGGTTTCAGGATTCTCGGTGAATAATTAAACAAATGATCTATTTCTATATAATAGACACAATGTGAAATAAATTTAGACACTAAATTTATATAATTTATGATTTTAGTTTAGTTATGATTTTAGACACTATAATTTATGATTTTAGTTTCAAGTTAATAGGAATCTGATACTTAAGCAATTCATCAAGGCTGATTTAAGTAATAAAAACTGATTTCTAAAGTAGCAAGATTTAAAATACTCTGTTGAATTGCTTTAACATAATATTTAACAAATATTTTAGTCACAATATTGAAAGTAGAAACAGAAATTATAAAGGCTAACTTATCTCCCCAAAACCGGGAGGATAAAGTTAAGAAGACAGAAATATGTGATGCATGAAATTGTCTCATGAGTTTACAAGCGTAAATTTTTTATGAAGTCAAGGACTTTTCATATTTAAACAAAGTTAATTCCCTGGCAAAGCTTGGTTTAAGTAATATTTTTTAGATTCTTTAAATAATCATAATTCTCTTAAGCTAAAGCAAAGTAAGGAACGTCACAGGAATATTTAAATACTTTAGCTGGAACAAAAGAGGCCAGTTCCATGTCAGTAAATAAAATAATATTGCATTCCATTTAGAGTAGGGATGCAAATAGATTGTGGACATTTTTTAGCATTGTTTATCCTGTAATTATCTATAAATTGAACTTATCTTCTTCAATTACCATCCAGCTTATGCAGCATTCTGTCCTGATGAAGTGGGAATGGATACTTGCCATCTCAGTGATCTTCCTACTCTTCCCAGTTACCGTAGTGTTCTGGCATCTCTCTTCTAGGCAAGTTAAAGGAAGCCATTAGTCCTTCCTTTTTAGGCATGCTTGAGATTGCGGAGGATCCAACAGGGTCCAGAGATCACTGCGTGTAACTAGCATGAACGATGATTTGATATCTGCAGGAACTGGTATGCCACTTCCTGATTCTTGAAATTCTTATGTGATCGTCACGGCTACTATCATCAAGGATCATACACTAAGAATAAGAAAACTTATCAAAAATGATAAATTGCCAAATTTCTTTTTCTTTTCTATATCCTACGTATAATTTGTGTGTGGGTACATGTATATTTTGTTTACACACAACCAATCATCTGAAGATATTGGTTTCTCAATAGATTAAGCTCTGTTCTAGAAACTTCCAACAGGGGTAGGGGCAGGGAAACGTTACCTGTCTATTGGTTCATTGTGGTCTGTTTTTTCAAAGATTGAAGTAAGAAAATTACTTCTATACTTTGCCCCTAGATTTTCTCTCTTCTGGTTTTTTCTTTCACTCTGGTGCGGGTATTTTTAACAGATATAATAGATATATTTAAATCATTTCTCTGCTTAAATTTTTTTGTTGGCCTCAGGCTGCAAATAGTGAAGAACATCAGACCGTTCATGATCTGATCTCCTGTGGACTCTGCAGCTTTACCTGCTAATACTTACCTCACCTCTCCACAGGACTTACATTCCTCTCAAAATGCCATACTCTGACTCATTGCCCCAGCTTTAACATCTCATACCAGCGCAAGCGTTCTAAAGCTAAGCACTGCTAGGGTCAACTATTTATACTATTTAACTCAATGCAGATAGCTTTGTAATTTTACCCTACTTACTCCAGTGTCTCTTTCTTACTCTACCACACATTCCTCCTCTCCAAAACCAGCTAATTCTTAGCAACTAGTGCTGCTCTTCTCTTTAATACTTTAGCTTGGACAGCCGTTTTCACCTAGAAGAGTTCATCCCACCCAACCTTAATGAATAATTACAATCACTCCTCTAAGAAAGTGAACCTTAAGTATCCATTCTGATATCCCTTTTTCTGCATGTGCAAGTCGCCCTGAGAAATGATAGTACATAATTCATATTTTTCATTCACCAGATCATTGTGTTAAATTTGCTCTGTATCAGGAATCATGAAACATCCTGTGGCACAGCTACAAATAAAGTATTGTCACACCGCAAGATTATTAACAGCAAAAATCATGGCTTCTTTTTTTCTACCTTGTAAAATGGGTCTTTATCTGTTCCTCTGCATCTGGCTTGTGTTGATGTTTTTCTTTTATTACTATAATTGTTTTAATTAGTCCTTAAAAGTAGATGTGTTTATTTTATATACTAAAAGATGAGGTTCAGTATAATTTATCCAAGATCACAGAGACTATTAAGTTTCAAAGGCAGGTTTGAATCTCTAGCTTAATTTCAAGGAATAAATATACAAATAAATAAATAACATATATTGTCACAGTGGCAATAAGATCACAAAGTGGCCATTCATTTATAAGTTCCCTGGACTTCTTAAGGGTGATTTCACCTTAGACACAATGCTTTGTATTTATATGCACTCCTCCTTCAGCCCTTAGATAATTTATATGTGACCACCAACAGGAATAAGGAAATCTTGACATATCTTCCACTTGTAAGGCAAAGTAAGAGTCGTACTCTCATTTAAATTTTTAAGCTTTTAAGATTTAGTCAGCATATTAGTCATCTTCCCGTCACTGGACAAAATGCTCAACACCCACAACTTCAGGGAAGAGAGCTTTATTTTGGCTCAAAGTCTTCAGAGGGTCAGTCCATGGTTGAGTGATTCTAAGGCAGAAATAGCCTTGTGGAAGAGCATGGCAGAGGAATGCAGTTTATGCCATGGCAGCCTGAAAACAGTGAGAGAGGGGAAAGGAGGAGTTGGGGACTAGAATATAGCCTTTCAGGTCATGTCCCAGTGACCCACCTCCAGCGAGGCCTCACCTCCTAATAGCACGTTTAGCTAGTGAGTATGGTGCCCCCATACTCCAAACATCTTCCAAATACAACATTCTGCCTCAGCCTCCTACAGGCTTATGTCCACCTCCTTGTGCCAGTTGTATCTGATTCATCTCTCAGAGGCAACGAAGTCTTCATAGTTTCAGCACTGCTGAAAAACCAAAATCCAAAGTATCTTCTGAAACTCAAGGCAAACTCTTAAGTGTGAGCCCCTGCAAAAATTTTAAAAATAGAAGTTAAATATTTTCCCCATACAGTGGCATGGGGTAAAAGTTCCCATCCCAAAAAGGAAAAGTGAAGGATAGGAAGAGAGCACACAAAAACACTGACCCTCATAGCTCCATGTCCAGCACCCATGGTGGGCTGTAGTACCGTGTGAGCTTGGAGTCATGTGGTGACTCCA